ATGGGCATCAACGGAGCAGGAGTCTTTTATTCCATGAGAGCACAGTTGCAGCAGATGCTAAAGAGTGGAGGTGGATCGATTGTGAGTCGGCTCTGCTTATGTCGCTTGTGTTCTTGATTCAAGAGAATTTCCATCACTGATCCCATTTGCTTCTCTAGGTAAACGTCTCCAGCGTGGCAGGATTTGTTGGACTGGCTGATACTGGAATCTACAACGCCAGTAAACATGCTGTTCGAGGCCTGACAAGGACGGCAGCTCGCGAGTATGGATCCCATAATATCCGAGTAAACGCGGTAGCTCCAGGTAGTACCTCACGTTCCTCGCCCCGACTTTTCTTCCGAGAAACTAATCTTGATGAAAACAGGTGTGATAAGGACACCCTTAGTCAAGGCAATGGAAACTGGCTTCAGGAACGGACCTGTCACTACGAAAATGCAAGCAATAGACCGCCAGGCCGATCCCAAGGAAGTCGCGACCGTCATTGCCTTCTTGTTGAGCGATGATGCAAGTTTTGTCACCGGATCAACCTATAAAGTTGATGGCGGATGGACAGCTTAGAGCCTCATCTCGGCTGCGATCTCGAGCTGCTGCAAATGGCTCTCTATCATTTCTGACAACTTGATAACAATCGCTCGTTTCGGACGGGGTTAACAATTATCGATGAGTGAACCACCTGTAAGCCTGAACCGGAATTTTATTTCGATAGGTCACAGGATCCGACTATATATATATATTGTAGAGAACTTGCCCTCGAATCCCGCATTGCAACTGGCTTCTCGCTGTTGTTAGGATAACAAACAGAAAAATAGAACCAAATGCTGTTGGACAACGTCAATGCTGATCGGGATTGATAACACTTCAACTTGGCCTACCAAAAAGTTAAGCTGTTCGCCGGCAAATGCCCTTTGCAACCTCCACACTTCGGAGTTTAATGTCCGATATCTGTCAACTATAAAAGCACTCTTTTGTCCTCCGTTGAAGCTCGCCGCCAACATTGTGACCATTATTTTTCCAGAGCCATGGTCAACTACCCAGATTTCGACTCACTGCCGCCAGTCGAAGGCCAGCCTCAGGGAAATGCCTGGGGATTTTGGGGCAAGGGCGACGAACTCGGAAGTACGTTCCTCCTTAAGCGCACAGATGCCATAGAAAGGAAAGCGGGTTAACCGGGCGGTCAACTTTAGCATTAAACCTGTTGACTCCCGAGGTCATTCGAAACGCATCCCGAGAAGTGAAGATAGGAAAATCCGTCCAGCTTGATTTAAGACTGGATCACTTCGACCATGGTATTGCGGGCCGAGAACGCTTTGAACAAACTATTGTGGATTTCAGGGAGAGAAACAAGGGCGGTGAATACGACATCGTCGCTCACGACGACGTGGTTCGATTCAATACGCAGAGCAGTTCTCAATGGGATGGTCTTCGACATGTTGGGCTGCAGAATTCTGGAATCTACTATAATGGAATGAAACATCGGGAGATAGATGAGGATGGTACAGGTAAACTTGGTATTCAAAGTGAGTTAATACCCTCGTTGGACCCTTTCCCAGAGTTGACCGACCGGCAATCTTGCAGACTGGGTTGAAAACGGAGGAATTGTGGGTAGGGGGATCCTTCTGGATTACGAAAGATGGCGAAGACAGGCGGGCAAAGGACCAGCAAAAATTGATTCTCCGTTTGCGATTACGGTGGACGAACTCGACGAGGTTGCGAGACATCAGAATCTTGAGCTAAAAACGGGGGATATTTTGATCATCCGCTCTGGGTTTACGGCATGGCATGATTCCACTTCCTCTGAGGAGCGAGCTAAGTCCTTGGACAGGGGCGAGTTTATTGGAGTGGAGGCATCCATGAAGTCCGTCAAATGGCTATGGAATCACCATTTCGCTGCTGTTGCTGGAGATTCATTGGGATTCGAGGTCTGCCCGGCTCCATTTGGGATCAAGGATAAAGTATGTCTTCACGAATGGCTGTTGTCTCACTGGGGAAGCCCGATTGGCGAGCTCTGGAATCTGGAGAAGTTGTCCAAGGTCTGTGAAGAGGCCCAGCAATGGTCCTTTTTCTTCACGAGTGCTCCTCTCAACGTTTTTGGTGGGGTTGGGACAACTCCGAACGCGATAGCGATCTTATAGATACCGCAAACCATCTGTAACGAGATTGAGAGCTCAGCTATCCGAGAACAAATTCAGAACTCCCCATCCTCGAGTTTTCCCGAAGGGGCGCTGTGTCATGCTCAAGGTTATGACGCAAGGCGGATCGACCATGTGTGACTTCGTTGCGGCGTAAAAGATCCGGCAGTCAGTTGTCAAGCTGCTTCGTTTGTGTGCCACACCGTGGCAAGCTGCTTTTCAGTGTGACGACAGGGTCTTTGTATTGGCGCAGGTCCCAGATGTCCCACAAAAGTCTGAGTATTGATCAATTTTTAAAGAGAAAAACTAAATCTACCACCGTACAGATAGAAAACCCACTTTGTCGCGGAGTCACGGTTGGTTGTCTGCGATCCGCAATCACCCATTTCATGTGGTGCGGTCACCTCACGACAGATAGTCCTTGTTGCGGCATGTGCAATAGACAGATCATTTCATATCTGCCGGTATATAGTGCATCCGTCACAGCCCGCGTTGAGGTGCAATTTCGTAGAACAGTCTTCTACGCCTCCGTAAGTAAGTGCGCGTCCACAAACACACTTCGCCGTAAATATTTCAGCCTCATCGCATCTCAGTTGACATTCAGATGCTCCTATAGAATATATCTCACCGACAGCCTTACACCCTGACAGCAGACAATACAGTTAAGGATAGATACCAAAACCGACTACACTGATGCCCCTACCTCTCAGAAGTGCATTGGCAATCCAATCTCCGCAGATCATCGTCACACAGAGGCCGCCATAACATCCGCGAACTCAAGGACACCATTCCTCGGCACGCACCCTCAGAAAATTCTGGGGAGAAATCTGTTGAGTACTAACACGAGTGGGAATCAGTTGGACAGCAATCAGTCGCGGTGGCGTGGTGAAGGGTCGAATTACCGATGTGTACGACGAGATTGTGACGAATGTCATCTCTAAATTCAACTACGGTGTTCTTTTAAACGAACCGTTCGATCCAGCGATACATCCAAAAGAAGATCGCTACCTGTGTCCTTACGAGAACTTACAAAAGGCCAAGAACTAGTTGCGCTGGTACCTGAGACGTGTAGGTTAAAAGCCAATATAGGCGCTCCTGAAACGGTCTCTCCGATTCTAAAATCAGCACACTGACAGACTACTAAAACCACAGGGCGAAAAGGTGAAAGAAGCACTCCCAGTCACATACCCGTGGAGAAAGTATAGTGATAAAGAGTGGGAATTGCAGAACAACAAAAAGCACATCTACGCTTCTGCGGCAAGAGAGCCACCCACTCGATTCAATGACGGTAAGAGCCAATTGTGCATAACATTTCTGCTACTCCGTGGAGTCACTGACAGGCCTGTTAACTTAAGAGGGTAAAAAAGTCTGCGCCATTAAGACGGACTTTGCCCAAAGCATGTTCAACGGCTTAAACAGAAGTAAGACTTCCTCCGGCAGAGAATACCGCATTCTGGACTACAGCTTGAACACGAGGGTGACCGCAGAAGACATTAAGTGGACTGTCTTTCACCAGAATCAAAACAAGGGCCAAAGGCAAATATCAATCGAGCATGATTGAGGCCAAAAAACTGTCGTGCTGCGAAATGATGGTGATTATTGGTACAAGTTTCACACAGGCATCCGGCCACTTTGGAATTCACATAATTCTGCAAAGAACTCAGTTGATAGATTGTCAGACTTGACAAAATTTCCCTGCGACGAATACTTTTTCGTAGGCTTATATGGAGAGTGGAGTACGGGGGTGGAACCCGAAATAACTTGTCGTCAAGCAGCGTTTCGGGACTCCGTTCATGGCTTGATTGATGGTAGTATGCGTCTGTTCCTATCGACCTGTAGTGAAATGCATCAGAATTGCGTTGGTGTTGATATTATCCCCAACCCCTTACTACTACTTGCTAAGTTAGTTGGTCTCATTCTGGTGTTAATCTAGCCTAATCGAGAACCACAATATTCCGCCAAGGCTTGTGGAGGGCGACTCTTTTAAAAGGTCGAGCAAGTCGTCAGTCTTCGCTCCGGGCCTCCTTCACTCTATGGACCTCTCAGTTAAATGTCCCCTTATCAAAACCGGCACGAATGGAAGATTGACGACTGCTGGGGCATCCAATTCGGACGCGTTCGACGACGTGCTCGTGTCGAAATGCAACCTCGCATAGGTATTTCGCACCGCCTGTCGATACGACAGGGATGTTCATCGTTGGGGTACCAGACTGCGACCGCAACAATTACACCAAGTGTCTCGCTCAGTAGTGCCAACTACGCCGAACAGGCAGCGACACAGCTGTCCCAGAAGTTCAAGAGAGCCTTCTGCGATGGTCTAAGCTGGGAGGTATCGTCTGGGAGGAGCATTTTCGCTAAATCAATTTTTGGAGCGGACGTTCAAGCAGGTTCATTTCAGCCGATTACCGAGGGAGAGCCACCGTACATTAACCCTAACGGCGGCGGACAGGGTGCAGACCGAGGTGTAGCGGAACTGGTCTAATCGAGGCAGAGTCGAAGTTGTTCCAACTCCGGCTAGTTCAATGAGCATAACGCGGGTCGTCGCTGATGTATCTGGCCACGAGAGCTCGCCGAAACACCATGTTTCGAGGAAAGAGTGACGCGAATGTACCCTCTCATTTTTCCCGGATGCACTTGTGCCACCAAGATCCTTCTCGGCGAAGCAGGATAAAGCGAGCTCGTTGGAGTCGCCAGGAGATAGCAGATAACTCCGAAAAAATGTGAAGACTTTTGAAGTATCCCCTCTTCCATCATCCCTTTTTTTATTATTAAGGTCGTAACCATCGTTGGAATCATCTTCGTATATACAGCGTAATGGTTAAGTAAGCCTCGGTTCGCAAAACGAATAAGTTCACGTCCTTCGCGTCATCCCTACATTCCCCCCTCTGTCGTTTTGTTTGCAATTTTGTTCGTTCCCAAGGATCTCTTGTAAACCTCCTCCAACCTTCCAACCAAATCATAGAGGTTAACATTCCCCTCACCGTCGCCCATCAGAATCCTCTCCACATTCTTGACTCTATTGCCATCGAGCCCGATTACAATCGCCTTCTCTACCTTCCCATCATCGGATATTTTGATCCGACCGACATGGTCATCGGACCAGACAATGCGGAGTTGGCGCGCGTCGACCTCCAGGGCGGTGAGAGATTGTACATTGAATTTTCCGGTTATTTCATCCTCCCCGTCCTCCTCGTCACTGTCATCCTCCGACCCGCGTTCCAAGTCATGACCTTCGCATTCACCGACAGGATCGTTCTCGATATTGTGCAGATCCTCATCGGCAATGCTATTCCCGGTGTCATTGCCGGACCCTAGAATCTGCAATTCTTCTCGCAGCCATTCCGTTATGTCTCGCCTTAATCTCCAGCTCACAAGATCATATCTGACCTTAGCAACGAGGCTGTAGAGATCCTGTTTCCTTGCCGTTCCTCCTTCGTCAATACCAAGTCGCGAGTCGTCTGAACCACCATATCCTTCATCCTCTGGGGACGAAAGAGGCAGATACTGCTTCTCATACTGCTCCAGTGGCACCAGCGCGGGAATTGTATGTCGATGGATCCGCAATTCCTCTCCTGTGCCTCTAGCCCGAACGCAGAATATATAATACGGACTGTCAAATTTCCCTTTGCGGTTGCATATATCTATCCTTATTCCAAGCAGCGGATTCCTGGACCGCAGTTCGGGCGACGGATCATGGAAAGGGAATGAGGTCACCCCAAATGCAAGGCGGTGGGCGTTTGTCTGGGAGTGTCGTTGTAGGCCTTCCAGTTGTAGCGGACCGTTGTCGTTTGAGGGTTCATTTATAGCCAGCAAGTATTTGGAGAGACGGGACTGGGCTTTTGTCGATGCCAGGAGAGAGGATGTGAGGAGTTTGCGCTGTTGAGTGAGTTTTTCAACTGCGAATGAGTTAGAGACGAGGGATGAGCTGGGGTTAGTCCGGACGCACTTTCGGCTCTGACTTGGGCAATCTCATCCTCTGGAGAGTCGCTCAAGATGGCATCCATCGAGGGGAGCGGGGGAGATGCCACAAGAGCCATTTCTATCTTGATGGCTTGTTCTCGGCCTCGAGCGGTGGTCTGCAGTCACTGGTGACAAGCGAAGTTCAACCGGAGGGGAAACATTCGACGCGTCTTGTGCTTGCTTATTATTAGACGCGTTGGGCAGCTCATCTTAGCTGAGGCAAGCTTTTCACGTGCTCGGTCAGGGGTTAAATACTGTGCCGGCAATAAATAAAGTGCCTACGAGAAAATCTGGGGGCGGCGGCCACCTTAGGATTCGCTTCCTATACGATAAAGATGAATTTGTCTCCTGCGCGAGACTGGCATGACGGGCAATTCGACATGATGTGTTGTTGTGAGGGGAGGGTGTGCTAGGCGCAACATCTCCTCCGTCCGTGAATCAGTGATCTCACGCATTACTTGGTCCAAATTCAATCTTGGTCATTCGCCGGTCTCGCCCCTGCGAAAGGACACAGAGTCCTTTTCTGTCCCTACCCACTCAACACCCACTCACACTCTTTTTCTGCCGCATGGATGCCTGACTCCATTGCCGAACCATATACAATTCCACTCTTTTACGCTCGTTCCCATCCCCCCGAACATCCCATCCTCCCAGTGCACAGTGCCAGCCCGAGCATTACGAGGCGATCTCAAGACATTGAACTAGACGAATATCAGTCGGAGAAAAAACATCACGGCGGTGCGCCTGAAGTCGGAAGCCGATCAACGGACGAAGAGCAAGACGAACAAGAGGACGAAGAGGAAGACAAAGAAGAAGATTCCGAAACTGAACCGTCGGAACAAGACCACCTTGTGGTTGCGGAAGGCTCTGATTCACCTATGCAGCGCAGAAGGTCCAAGAAACACAAGGACAAGAGATCGCAATCTCGCCCAGATCTTCATATCGAGATCGAGCAGAACGGCCACGCGAATGGCCACGCAAACGGCGACATGAATTCCCATATTGAGATGAGACGCAAACACGTCTCGAGCGACGATCCCACGACGAACACCACCAGACTTATGAGCAGAAATGATTTCTCCCTCGACTATGAGCCGCCTCCTCAGACACCGCAAACCCCTGGCATGGTCAATACCAGCTTCGTCGATCTCCCTCCGAAAGACAAGAAGAACTTTCTCCTCCTTTGTCTCCTGTATTTCCTCCAAGGCATCCCCATGGGTTTGGCCTCGGGCTCTGTCCCGTTTCTGTTAAAAAGTTACCTCTCATATGGTCAAATCGGCATCTTCTCTCTAGCCATATACCCTTATTCGTTAAAGCTGCTATGGAGTCCCATCGTGGACGCAGTGTGGAGCAGGAGGTTCGGACGGAGAAAGAGTTGGATCACTCCGATCCAGACCATCTCCGGACTGTCCATGATTTACCTGGGGGGTAGAATTGATGATATGATGAAAGCTACAGGCGACAACGAAGGAGCCGGGGTGTGGGGCTTTACTGGCTGGTGGTTCCTTCTGGTCTTCATGTGCGCCACTCAGGACATTGCGGTTGACGGATGGGCCATTTCGCTCCTCTCAATCCAGAACATTTCGTATGCATCAACCGCCCAGACAGTCGGCTTGACTGCCGGGTCTTTCCTGTCACACACAGTCTTCCTCGCGCTACAAGCTCCAGATTTTGCCAACAGGTGGTTCAGGACCGTCCCCAGGGAGTACGGGCTATTCACCCTCGGCGGGTATATGGCATTCTGGGGATGGGTTTACCTCATCGTAACAGTGGGATTGGCCATTCTGAAACGGGAAGAGAAGAACAATGATCGTGAAGGGATCATCGAAGTGTACCGGACCATGTGGGCAGTGCTCAAACTCCCCAACGTCGTCACCATCATTATTGTCCATCTTGTCAGCAAACTCGGCTTCGTGACCAACGATGCGGTCACGAATCTCAAGCTCCTAGACAAGGGCTTCGGACAAGCAAATATGGCTCTAGTTGTACTCATTGATTTCCCATTTGAATTGGGCTTGGGATACTACGCTGGGAAATGGTCTACAGAGTATACACCACTCAAAGTCTGGTGTTGGGCATATGCCGCACGGCTTCTGGCCGCCGTCTTTGGGCAGATTACGATCATGATGTATCCAACCGCGCCCGACGAGGCCGTTCCGGTGTGGTACATGCTGGTGGTGATTGCTGCACATGTGTCGTCGACCTTCATGAATACCGTCATGTTTGTTGCTTCGGCTGCGTTCCACGCTCGAATTGCGGATCCAACGATTGGCGGAACATACATGACATTGCTTGCTACGTAAGTCTAGTCTTGGGGTCTCCGTGAGAACATTTTTGCTGATGTCTTTGCCTAGCGTCTCAAATCTAGGTGGCACGTTCCCGAAGTTTTTCATCCTCAAGTTTGTCGACCTCTTTACGAAAGCGACATGCATTCCACCGGCTGACCCGGAGGCCTTCCTCAAATCTCACCCTGAGGTGATCTCCAGCAGTTTCAGCTGTGCTCTCGAAGCAGACAAGAACATTTGTTTGAAGGGAGGCGGGACCTGCCTCATGCAACGTGACGGCTATTATATCACAAATGTGATTTTTGTGATCATTGGAGCAGTCTTGTTTTGGACTTACGTGGAGAGGAAGGCACTTGCGCTGCAAGCGTTGCCCCTACGCGCATGGAGGGTAGGGAATCATTCGTACCGGCACGTGCCATCGGGTTGATTTTTATCAATTTGCCTTCGTGATGTTGTTCATACAGAAATGATACCCATTAGAACAGAAAAGTTTGACAAATACATTGCTTGAAAAGAGGTTCAAAACAGGGACGCGAACGTCGTTGGAATTGATTAGTATGGATGACGCGACATTAGTGCGGACTTGTCGTGTGGCTTCATGCCAGTCCTCCCACCCGTTCAGGCGAGAAGGCTGCGAGGCAAGGCTGCGAGGAAGGATGAGAGGCAAGGCTCCGAGGCAACAAGACGAAAGGCAAGGCCACGCACGTGATATAAAAATGTCAATGACACATTCTTCCATACGGCGAATGTGCTTGTTTATTCATCCTGGTGCCTTTGTTGAGGACGCCCCTTTTTCATCCCTTGCGTTGGACAACACTTGTAACTCAGTGGGTGCGGTGACTCACCCCCTTATCTCGTCTCGTGCCTTCCGTTCTCGAGAGGCCGCTTACATTACATTACGCAACACTAGACTACGACTGACGACGGACGAGAAACGAGGGACGAGAAAAGGGAATCGGAAGGGCAAAGGGAGCGACGATCCGCATATCCTTAGCAGATTCGCGCATCGAACCTGGCGAAGCCAAGTTGGGTTGTGAACCAACACCGCAAGGCACAGGGGGAAAACGTCTCCCGCAGGACGTACACAAGCCACCGAAATTCGAAATTCGATCGAGAGAGCGGGAGCGGAAAGAACTCAGCGCACCGATCTCTCCCGACCCGGTCTTTTCTATATTCGTGGTGCCGAAGACCGGCAAAGTACCGCTCACTCTTGCGCCTCTAGTATTAGTGCTCAGCAGACGGCAGACCGGCGGGAGGGACCAATTGTTCACGGCCGAATCTCCACGATGGCCAATTCATCGGGATCGACGCCCTCACCCACCCACAGTTGGCACTCATCGCCCGAAAGCAGAGCGACGACGCCCGAAGGAGCACAGAGGGATGTTGAATTCTTTGGCGATGACGCGTTACCGGTCCACGGGCACGGGGCGGCTCACGGCGCACAAAGGAACGACGAGCCTCAGGCGCAGCTTTCAGGAGACCTCCGCGAAGAGATACTGAGCGACATCCCCTCGCTCCGCCGACAGCACATGACCGATGGGTACCGCGAGGGCCTCTCCGTGGCCAAGGCGCGGGTGATGCAGCGTGGGTTTGACGCGGGCTATCCCCTAGGCGTAGAACTTGGACTACGCGTGGGCAAAGTGCTGGGGGTGTTGGAAGGCATCATCCATGGCTCCAAAGGCAGCAAGCCTCGTTCGACCGGAAACCCCCCAGAAGCAGGACCGAGTTCTTCTACCAATGAGGCCACTCTCGACGGGGTCAATGATGGCGCGATGGCCGCCACCCCGACGAAAAGAGTGGCCGACATAGCCTTCATGACCCTCATGTACAGCCGCGCCCAAAAGGAGCTAAGTGTCTCGGAACTCTTGAAGTCCGTGACTGACGAGACGGTCGCCGCAATCCCAGAAGACGCCAGTGCTGGCGCCGTCGACGATGGCAGCGGCCAACACGAGGCGGCGGGCGGCAACAAGAAAGCCGAAGTAGACGCAGTATTGCTGCCGGCGGAGATCGAGGCCGCGCTCGAAAAGTGGGAACGGATGGTGTTGGGCGCGTTTTGAAAAGGGACTATCCGAAGGAGGAACGAAACAGACTATCTACCTCGCATGAATGAATCTGTCTGATACGAAGGCTTGCATACGTGCATGACTACCTACACGTCTGAGACTCCTTCACCCCATGAATCGAAACCAGACGCACGACCTCCGCTTCAAGTTTCAACAAATCGTCACTCAACCCCAAGTTGGGTCTTTTGGTCCTCCGCTAAGGATCAGTGGTGAGCGCCTTCTCCGTTCCTTCGTGGGCGAACAGACGGAGCCTCGCGAGGAGAGGGAAGACCACCAGGAGGGGGCCCCTCGAGACACCGCATGAATGAAATATTGAAGAGAAAAGCAAAAAGATTGTGTAGTTGCTACAGGTCGATTCCGCGTGACAAAAGGACCCGCTTGGAAGCGAGACCAGCAGGGGCAATGGCTACAGCAGTAGCAACGGCAACGGGGCAAGGCATGTATGTGTTTCATCCGTCTTCGATATCCTCGTTGGATGCATGCTCGATATTGGTACAATAGCTCCATTCCCACTGAAACATTGCCAATCCTGTGCCATCGTCTGAAAGACGACAAAGCCAACTTCGGTCTCTAATCTCCTGTCTCCAGCTATTCCATCCTCGCATACCTCTCCCTGGCCCTCTGTCGAGTCTCTTCCAAAAACCCACCGTAGTCGCCTTTGGTGTTTCGCTCCGCTTCAACAATCGCGTCGCCGAGTTTCCCGCCCTGCGCACCCAGGCCAACTCCAGCAACATAGACATCTTGGCTTATTGGTGTGGTCATCCCCTCCCCAGAAGCACCGAGCCCTTGTCCCACAGTATAGCCCATTTTGCTGAGCAATGAAGCGCCTTTGGACTGAACGACTGGTGGGGGAGCTTCATCGTCCGAAGATGCGCGCGACGACCTAGGTGCCTGTCCAACCTGTTCACCCTTCTTATTGACCACGCCGTAGATCTTGCGTCTCTCCTTGGCTCGATCGCGATATTCCTGGACAGGTTGTGCCGCGGCCATCACAAACTGACATTGGATCCCGTGCTTCGCCAATTTTGCTTGTGCCTTTTTGACCTTCACTTCGTCCTGTCGATTCGAGCGGTGCAGGTCACTCAGACGCTCGTGCTTATTGACTTCTGCTGCGTTATTGAATTGGCGCATGCAGAGATAACAGCAATGCCGATTGGGATCAGCGTAGGATTGCGATGGCGGTGCATCTGCACTTTCATTCCCATCAGTTGATCTCGAGTCTTCCCTATCGTGGGATTTCTTTGTGATGCCATGCAGCTCCGCGTGGCGATTGCTCCAGAATTGGAGGTGCGATGGCACCGTCTTCTTGACTCCAGTCGCATCAACGTCTGATAGTGCCTTTCGCTTCTTGGCCCTCTCCACGTCTTTGGTCGGTTTAGTGCCTGCGTCTGTGCGCGTGGTCGAGCCATTCTTCGGATCCTGTGGGGCCGTGGTTGGCATCGAGACAGCCAATTCTTTCACATAAGCCCCTTCATCCCAATACGCCAGCTTCATGGCTGGATTGCCCACGGGGCTGAAGCAGAAGCGCTCGATGTCCGGGGTCGGGTTCAATACGGGAACGAAAACGCCGGCATGGATGTAGCTGACCAGGACCTGTTTCGAGGCGATGGTAAACCGCTCAAAGGAATTGTACCGAATCAGCGCGGCTTGTGCATCCTCAATCGAAGCATACTCTGCAAACCCATACCGCCAACTCTCGTTGGTTCTGCGATCTCGTACAAGCAGAACTCGTCGCAGTGTACCTTCTTTAGCACCAAGATTCGCGTCACCGGTAGTGGATGCGACTTTGGCGCCCTTTTTGGCAGGTGTTTCATCTCGTTGAGCCGTTGACGGGTTTGGCTTATTAAGTTTCCCTACTCCCTTTACTAGCAATTCCTCAGACATGGAAGGCTCCAGCCCTCGTAACAGAAGGAATTGAGAGGGGTGGTTGTCTGGAGAAGCATCGTTGTCTCCCACGTTGGGCGGTTTGGTGGCAGCGTAGGTCGGGTTTTCTGTGTACCATGAGTGTCGAGTCGAAGCCATCGGCGTCATCAAACGTACCTGGTTTCTCAGCCTGACATCTGAAGCAACGATCTCGGGTCGCGAAATTGTTAATGAGACACTATACATTCGTCAGCTTGGCAGCTCCAAGTGATGAACCTTCCACGACATACAGTATCGCAAATCCAATCTGGGCCATCGCTCCTTCGTGGGTCTTTCCGCTCACGACTGAAGGTGATCCGAACTTTAGAAGCATCTCCGTTGGACTTGTTGCTGTCACCGTACAGGTAGATGATAGGGTAATTGCGATCCATGAAAGCTTCCGCCTCTTGCAATGTGCCGAAACGGAGGAAACCAAATCTCCTAGATTGCCCTGCCAGAAGCCATGAGAAAAGATGTCGCCTAAACTTCCATATATTTTCCCTTCAAAGCTTACTGGTTTGCTTGTCGCGGATGACCCGAACATCTTCAATACCTTCGGCATGGTAGTATTGTTTGAGTTCCGAGGAGATCTGTTTCGAAAAGCCGAGAAAACCTTAGCCATATGTCCCGCAGGAAACAGAGTAAGTCACCACGGTATAACCCCAAATGATTGCAAGTGGTCATAGAAATTCGGGCGGGAGGATTCGAACATCGTTCTCAACGAGATGAGGAGCCAATCCATCCATCATGATTTCCCTGCTCGGGGCGCCTCGACTTGGAGGTCTCTCCTCTGACGGTGTGCGGTGTCTGCTTCGACTTCGACTGCGGTGGTCTCGTGAAGCGGAGCGAGGGTCGTCTCGATCATAGTATGACGATCCGCCTCGGCGGGAGGACGGTGAGCTGCGATCGTCGTCATAATAGCGGTTGCGTCTCTCATAGCTGCGGTCACGTCTTCGATCTGGACTCCCAGCACGGCCACGAAAATGGAATTCTCCTTGGGACGGTCCCGTTGGTGGTCGGCTTATGTCTTTGAGCGTTTGCGTGTCAGTATAATTGCCTGAATTTCCCACCCCATTTTGAACTATGGTTTACCGTGTGGAGGACTTCGTCTGCGAGGGGAGCTGTGTCGACGTTCTCGAGATCGTGACCGGGACCGGTCATCGTAGAAGTCGTCTTGTTGAGAAGGATGAAATGATCGATATGGCTGCTGAGGGCCAGTGTACCCACCACGAGGACGATAAGATGACATGATGCGCCTCACTGCACGGGCAGTTCATTGTCAAGAAAGTGAGGTCGAGGTGTGTCGAGGTCGTTGCTGGTCGCAGGCTACTCACTACTCCGTATTGTCACAAGAACTCGGCAAAGTTTCCCCAATAAACACTTGAAGGGCAAGGCTACAACCCCCCCTAACTCCGTGCATATCATGTTTGATTCAAGACTACCTCCCTAGCGAGCTGGGTACCTGGATTTCTCGAGAACGAAAAACCTAATGGCTATGTACGGTTTGATCCTAGAGGGTGAGCAAAGTCCGCTTTAACATGAGCTTTAACTGAGCCATTGGCTGAACATCACAGAGCGCTCCCCGAGCACTCTCTCACCACTCCCTGAGCACGTCCTAATCACTCCCTAAGCAAACACATGGAAGGCCAAATCTGGTCCCTTGGCGATCGGCTACACCCTTTATTGTTATGCGAGTCTAGGACTCTTTCCAACGGGAATCCATAAGCACCAAGGAAACCATAAATCACACCTCGCACTTCTCCAGCGGCCTCCAAACGCTCTGAAAGAATGTTTCTTGAAACTCACGGTCGCTTTTGATCTCTCGGACCCGGTCAAATTCGGCACCTAGGCATGTTAGAACTACCTGCTCGAACTTGTCGCCAGCGCGGAAGGCGAGGTCGACTGGATGGTTGTCTTTGGGAGCAGTATCAAGCAAGTCCCTTCGCATATCCTTAATGTCTTGGGCCTTACACTCTTTGAGCAGTGCTTCATCCAGTTCACGAAGTTCTTGCTTTGTCAATTCTTTCTCGGCCTTCTTTCGAGCTTCCAGTGCCTTTGCCCGCGCACTTCGCAAGAACGTTTCCTTCAAGGGTCTCCATTTTGCGATTTCAAACAGGACCAACCCAAGACTATACACGTCATAGGACTTGTGGAAGCCAGCGTAATCCTCTTCCAGGCAGTCTGGGTGACGGTAGATGTCGGTATTGGGGTCTCGATCCAGTCTCTGGGATGGCTCTCCGGTGGCGTCTTCACGAGAGTAAGAGAATCCGACGATGTATGGATCGTCCAGTGTTCTTGGTGCCTCGGAGGACTTTGGGAACAAGAGGATGTTGTGACTAGAGAACGACTTGTGCATCCAATTTGACAAGTGCAGGTAGAAGAGGGCATGGACTAGCTGGCGAGAAAGTCGAACCCGATCCGTCAGGGATGGTTTGAAGCTAGAAGACAGGAGCTCGTGTAGAGATCTGGGCGAAGTTGGCCGTTCGCCGCTAACTGGCCACTTGTATAAAAACATGTACCTCTCACTACGAGGCTCGTCGATGATGCCCACACAATCCAATGTCCGGAATGCGGGATGCTTCGGAGCGTTCAGCAGCATCGCTAGGTTGACAATGCTATCCTGGATCCTGCGTCTCGACTCCTCAGAGTCCGACCAGTCATACCGCTTCCACTCGACGTAGTGGGTCTTACCATCATAGAGGACGCTTCCGTAGATGCCACTTGGCCCCATATGCTTCGTGTCTTCTATACGATTGCTGAACAGTGGTAAGAGGGACGCATGCCTTGACGGAGAGGCTTCGTCGATCAGATTTTGCAATTCGCTGGCGTGGGTTTTGTCGGCAGAAGCAGGCGTGGGGATCAGTCCAATGGCTCTCAAAAGCGCTATGGTCCTTTCCGGTATGTTTCCAACCTCGCTCAAATTGTATGCTTCTATCAAAGTTTGGAGACTGCTCAGCTGCGAAGCCAGTTGGATCATGTCCGCTTGTTGCATGCGCAGTTGCTGCAAGATGTCGTCTTGTACGTGGGCGTCGAGGAGGTCAAACAGACCCTGTATAAGCTGTCTAACATCTTGCAAAAGCTCCTTGAACTTAGTCTTGTCGATCGCCGCGAACCAGAATCGCTTCAATGGCGCGTCCTTCTGGATTTTTTTCGCTCTTTCTAGTAACCTCGCTCTCTCTTTAGCGAGTGTATCGCTTTCGAGGAACGATAGATCCTCTCCGGAGAGGCTGTCGTAGTGCGGCGCGGGATTTGACGGGGGATCGTCGACATGGATATTCAAGCTATACCTTTTGCTCAACTTGTCCGTAGATGTGAGAAGCTCCCGCAAAGATGACAGGACTTGGTTGATGACCGTTTCATTTAAACGCCGATCTAGCTTGTCTTCGGTAAGACCAGATCGCTTTGACCACAGCAAGAGCCGTTGTTCCTCGAGCAGGATAGCACAGCGATAGTGCGCCGTCTGTTTGCCAACTTGGAAGGCTGTCGAGAAGAGCTGGAATCCTTCAATACAGCCAGCAAGGCACTGGAAACCGAACCCAACGATTCCAGCAACAGCAGCAGGCCCTGCAAGAGCTTCCCCCACTACTGACATCTCTCTCCAGAATCAGAGCAGCTCACGCTAGGAAAGAAAGATGTCGATTCAATGCCCTCCGCCGCGAGTTCTGAAAAGTCGAAAACAGGTTTTGGGAAGAAATTCGATCCTCCGAGTTCCGCGTCGGCGGACATATCAGCTGAGACCTGCATATACGAATATCGTAGCTTGGAACTTGGTTGCGTAATCCAAGATCTCGACCAATAAGTCAAGACAGATAGCCTGGTGCTTCACCAGCCTCGAGAATACAGCCTGACCGCCGCAGCAAGTCACCCCAAGAGGCTTCACACAATAGCAATACCCCAAGCATGTACATTGACCACTATTACCACGCTCACCATAATATTTCCCGTTAACTAGGCCCCCCGAACCTTCTTGGAGCAGCAGAAAGTCGATACCCTTGTTGAACGATGGAGGAAACCTCGAGGAGGCCGAGCACTCTGCGCGTCTCGACTCGAGAGAACTCCAATGACCGGCAGGATGCCGGCATTACTATCCGCTCGCGACTGGGGACCACAACATTTGAAAGTATCACCATAACCGCAGATCAGCTGTTTGCTCTCTATATAGCACTTGCTGGAGATGTTCATCTGAGCACCGTGGATCGTGAAGAGTTTGTGTTTGAGCAACTCGTCAATAAGGATGTTGGCATCGTTGATGCGGCTACAAGATTCATAGGGCAGGGGCATTCATTCAGTGTCAGAGCTTTGACCCTACCAAGTCCAGATCGCAGCTTCGTCTTGAAGAGCGTCCTGCCCGTCAAGGACTTCAGCAATCGGGAAGAGCAGACACGGCTTGGAGACGTGATCTTGGAGCTCCGTGCATTAAGCCATGGGCCGTTGCGTGATCATGTGAATATCGTCAAGCTGTTTGGGCTGGGCTGGGAGACGGACTCGTCGGACACACTGCAGAAATGGCCGGTTCTAATCCAAGAATGTGGACACGGGACGCTGGACGATCTTCTCGGTCGGGACCTCGACATGCCTTACCAGCACCGCTTAGAATTGTCGCTTGGAATAGCTGACGGATTGCACGCGATCCACAGATGCGGAATCGTCCATGGCGACCTCAAGCCAGGCAATGTGTTGATCTTCCCTTCCTCGCGGCAAAGCAGATCTCAATGCAGGTGGCTGGCTAAACTTGCAGACTTTGGCGGCTCCGTGCTTGATGTAGAAGAAGGATCTATGGGAAGACTGCCCATGCGTACACCGCCGTGGCAAGCTCCAGAATGGGCAGACTACTTGACGCGGGAAGGTCTGCTTTGCACCGACATCTATTCCCTCGGTCTGACAATCTGGAGCATCATGGCAAAGGGAGCTCATCCAGCCCTAAAAATGTCAGATACAACAGCAAAAGCGTCCAATGGTGGTGACCGTGATGGAATGGGAGACGAGAGAATGCCCGGACACCAAGATAACGTTCTGCATGCATTTGTCGAATTCGGAAGAACAATGTTCGCTATGGATGTCGACCAACAGCAGGTTGAAAGGGTGCTTAGTGTCGCACTGCGCCTCGATCCATCAAAACGAAACTTGAGTATGGCGTGCCAGATTCTGCGGCACTTAGCACAAGGCATCCCTAATACTGCCATCAGCCAACCGTCGGAGAAAGGTGTAGGATATTCACCTGTCACTCAACTTTCTCACGTGGAAAACCTTCTCGTACGCTACCCTGGCCGCAGAATTGTGAAGAGGATGACTGAACTCTTGAGCAGATGTTACCAGATATGCTAGACACTCTCAGTCCGTGTGTCCAAGAATATATGCGGGCGCGGCTAATCGGAGTCTTCAGGGCGTCAACGGCAACCATCAAGTCGGCGCCGGCATTCACACTTGCCATAGATGCCCTGCGCCACAGCCACAACCCGGATTCGGAAAAGCAGTGCATGATCTGGCTTATCCGTTCGGCTGAGAATGGCAACCAAACAGCTCAAAGTCTGGTGTACAGGTTTGCGAAAGCTCTCAATTATTCTCTCCCAGCAGAAACATCGGCAAGCCTTGAAGGTTGGTTGATTGATGCTGCGCAGAGGAACTATCCGGCAGCTCAACAGGATTTGCCGGCGGTCGTCTCTGTGGAGAACTGTCTCCTGGTCTGGGAAAGGATCCGCTCACGGTATGCTGGAATGGGCCGGAATCGATTCGCAGATCTGTTCTCAACTCAGAGAATCACCTTGACCGAGTGGGATATTCAGCTTAGGGACAGGCTTGTGCTGGCTATGGCAAATCCCGGTTTTGACGCATTGAGTCTAAATGTCAACGACAAAGGTGACACCATGTTGCACTTTGCAGCTTCAGCAGGATTCGAAGAGGTGGTGAGGCTGTGGGGTGGTTCAATGCCATGGACGGTCAATGCAACTGGCGCTGACTCTGAAACACCATTGTTAATCGCATGTCGCTCTGGGCACGGAAACATTGTCAGACTTCTGCTCAGCATGGGGGCTGATCCCAAGATTCGAAGTAGTAACGGCGATACACCATTGCATTGGCTGGTTGCCTTCCAAGGCGACGACGCGCACGACATTGCCAAAGCGCTCGTGACTGCCGGTGCAGATGTCGAAGCAACGGCCAAGGCTATCCGTTTTGAATTCGCACCGCTTTGTGATTACGAAGCAGGTACTCCTTTGCATCGCGCAGTCGGCAAAGGCAACCTGGCTGCTGTTCGAGCACTGGTCGCATGCGGTGCATCAGTTACTAGTGCAGGCGGACGAGCGGACGGGACATCTCCCACGTCGCTGGCGGCTACACTCCATTACGCTGGAATTCTTGACACTCTCCTCCGCTCACTTGGGGATCCGCTTGCTGCAACACATCCTCATGCTGGGCTCTCTCTGCTAGCTGTGGCGATTCGCGGTGAGATCATCTACGGCGAGAGATTCTCCAAGATCGCGAGACATGGCCATTCTTGGTGGGAAGAGGCTTACGGAACTTTCAACGTCATTCGTCGATGGGGAGGCGAGGAGCATATGCGTGGATTCCCTCGGGGAATGAAATGCGCTGGGACCACCCCCCTTTTGCTGGCGTGTGCGTTCAATCTTCCAGAAACGGTGCGCTATCTTCTTGAAAGCGGCTGCCAGGGTGACATCAACATCAGATCGTCGTACTGGTTAGATGGTGGTCATTATACGCCACTCGTCAAATCGATCTTTCAAGGTTCGAAAGGCGTGTTCAAATTGTTACTTGAGCACGACGCGAACGCGACCGAGATTCATGTGGATGAGAACTGGCACGATCTGCCGCCGCTATATCTATGTGCCGCAGCGGGACATAGTGATGCATATTTTGCGGAAGCTCTTCATGCCCGTGGTGCTCTGATCAACGGATTCGAGGACAATAGCAGACAGTTTGAGACACCTTTCGCGTGTGCGCTTCGAGGCCGGTGTTTTACTCTTGCAAAGTGGCTGCTAGAACATGGCGCCAATCCGCACAGCGAATACAAGAAGGGCCTGATGGTGGAAATGAAGTACGCTAGCAGCGTCCTGGTCTTTCTAATCAAGGAGCGGACTAGGTCGTCATGGGTGTGTATCGACTGGCTCTTGCGAGAGGTACCAGACGTCAGGTTCATGGTCTCGTCCCAGCATAATTATTCCGTGCTCCATGCACTGGCGCTGAGTCAGGAGTGGGTGAGGAAAGATGAGAGCAATCCGGCTGTCTCGCTGGTCATCGAGAGAGTATTTGACTACTTCAAACCCAGTTTTCAGCAGGTAAATCAACAAGATGAAAATGGCCGCACTGCCATCTGGCTCGCAGTTCAAATGGGCAACCTTTACCTTGTTGAACGGCTCTTGAAGGCGGGCGCGGATCCTCAAATCGTTGACGAGCATGGAGCTAATGCTATCGATGTCAACGACTTTCTGCTGAAGTCAATTGAAGACAATCCGAACAGTGTTGTCGACGACACTGATCCTAGGCCGGCAGCGAGACAGATCGAGCAGCGGTTGGATTTGAGACGGGCAGTGGGCGAGCTCTTCGAGCCATACAACTGATTGGTGATTGGCACCCAACAGCGAGTTCGAGGGCGACTCCAGCGACTTCATAATCGGGTCTAGCGCCACCACAACTAGGCGACGTCAGGTTTCAAGCAACATCCTCAAGGTAGTCGGCGAGGTTGGCGGCGATGAGGTCAGACATCTGGAAAATCGAACGATGTATAGGATTTGTACGAAGTGACTCTCAGAAACAAACACCAGCCAAATTCCTTCAAGCAAACTGGGGAAATTGTTGTCTGGAGTCCTCCCCGAACTTGGCGAGAAAAAAAATTCAAGGGCGAGGCTACAACCCGGTGCAAAAAGATATTCGTTCAGGACAACATCGATATCTACGAAGTGCATGACAATCTGAGAGCCTGGCTCTCCCCATGCCAGATGTCTCCCTTTATCGTTGTGAACGTCATAGCTCGATGCATTCAGCTCATGTGGGATACGAATCTCAAGTCCCGACATACCTTAGGCATTCTTCTCGCTTGCAATCCTCCTTCCTAGAAATCCCATCAGTCTCCTCCCTCCCCGCTCCTCGGTTGTTGTTCTGAAACCGCATCTCTCGCCTTTCCCCTCCGTTTCCGGCTTACTCTTCTGGAGCTTAGGTCTGGCATCTTCTCCTACTGTCGGCCCAAACTCTGTGACTGAGGCTGGTGCTGTCTGAGGCGCACGAGCCTTCCTAAGCATCCCGCCACCGTTGAAGGGGCTCAACGGTCGTCGTTTTCTGTCAACGTCAAAATATGCCCCATTGATATTGACCGTGAGCTTCTTTCTCAGGCGTTGGCGAGGCGATCTCGTCGACGGCGTCGGCGATGGTGGAATTTCCGCATCTTTCTTTGGTTGGCCGCCATCTATGATCTTCTCGCGCCGGCCAGGTGATCTCCCAGACTTTGGAGATCGCGGAACTTTCGACGACAAGTCCTCGATACTATCTTTAGTTCTCACACTGAGCGAGTCGTCGGATTCGCTAAGGGGAATGTTAGCGGAGCTTTCAGACGATGTGACCGTTTTGAAGGTCTGTTTCCCTGCTATTGAAGAGGTATTTCCAACTTTGAAAGGCGATCTAATTGGCGAAACTTGATGCGAAGAGCTTCCCAACGGTGAAGCTTCATCGGCATGCTCCTGCGCGGTGTTGTGGACAGACTCCTGGAACAATTGGATATTGTCTGAACTCTTCGACATGATTGAGGATCTGGTGCTGCGTGAAGAGGGGCAAACGTGCAAACGAGCAATGCCGTTCTCCTCAAGGTATTCTGAGGCCACAGTCAGCATCATTAATGGTGCAGAAAAATGCTGTACTAACCATAAGGGCGGCAATGAAATTGGAAGGCCGCGTAAGGCATGTCAACAGGGTCAAGAAGCTGGTACTTGTATCGTCGAGGACGAACGCAGGGCTCAAGGAAGCCGCTGTTTGTCAATCTGCAGACTTGTAAGACATCAGCAAATAAACAGAATCACCGAAAGTGCACTGACCGCAACACATCGGCGTTAGCACTGGCAGCGTCGGCCTGCCCCAGGCCTGGTTCAAGGTCTCGAACCCGCTTCTTATGTTCGATCCTGTGCACATTGATCTGGATCAAATCCTCGTCGAGCCCACCTCTTTCGCGGTTATCCAGCCCATCTTCGAATCTTAGTGCCTGTCTTTTGACTACTGCGACACCCGTGTCTGGATCCACGCCTTCGCTGACCAAGTTGTACATCATTTTGCCATGGAAGCCATGCTCTGCTGTGCAATCCCATGATGTGATAGCCCTGTCATTTATAAAGAGCTTGAAGAACCAGGCAGCTTCTAGAGGATGAGGACCGTCAATGGTGTACTCGAACCAAATCTGGCAGCCCGGGTAGATTGGAACAAAGCAGCCTGCCGTCGGATAGGGCGTGGAGGACAGGTGCTCGCGCTGGTTGCTGGCCTGGAAAGGATCCTTCAGTCGAGATGGTTTGCAGTACTGGAACTCTGGCAGCTTGCAGATGTCGAACTGTGATATGATGCATATTTCAATGCCCCGGAACTTGACCATGCTGGATGGATGCTTGACTGAGGGGAGGGTGAAAGAGGAGAGAGTGCGCTGAGGTTCCTACAGCGAGTATATCTCAGGAGGCTGCTAGGGGAGGCCACCGCTTCACCAAGTCTCTGGTGAATGCCACCTGACGGGAAGGAGTGACTCGGGTGTGGCAGAGTCCTGGAGTCGTGGCCATGAACATAGACACATATTTAGTAGGTAAGTTCGTACCTTTTCCCTCATGTCTCTTCTCCACCAGCTCCAACAGCCCTTATTGTCGGTATAATTCTCGAAATTCTCAATTAAGTATCATGATGTCTTTCATCTTCGTCACAAGCAGCTCCCATTTCTCGTGATGACCTCAAAGCCTGATTCAGCAGCTGCCTCCGCTGCCGACTTGGAGAAGTCGTTGTCGAAGTCTACGCAGCCTGTCCCTTTCAACTGTAGTCGGCTGGGGCCATGCATTCTACCTTTTTCCCAGCCCCTGCAACAGCACAACACTCGATGCTCCCCTGACTGCGTCTGCTGATCGCTACCAACCAAGCTTCACCTCTTCATCTTGGCCCATCACCTCAAACTCAGCTTCCTCGTACTCTGGATTGACATACAACATGTCGAACCAGTCTAACATGTGCCTCCAGCACCTCATCATCGCATTCTCCTGATACAGGTGCTCTCCACTCGCGTAGCAATTGCATCCGACCTCCTCACGACCAGCGATCGGTGTCTCAATGGGTGACGGTGAGACGAAGTAAGCTCGACATCGTTTGCTTATGAAGGTGACAAAGTCGCCGGGAGCGCCGTTGGCGATGATATCTGCTATCTTGTGTTGAGGTGTGACCAGAGAGATGCCGTTGATGCGACTGGACCACGAGTCCCCTGTAAGCAACTGTCAGGATGTCCCAGATATCAGACAATACCGCACCTACAATGCTCAGCAAGGTATTCCAGCGCCGCTGACCCAGTGTACTCCAGCCCAATAACATCCACTTTTGCTTCCTTTGCGACCAAGCTTGGAATCACCTTCTCAAACATGTAAGACACGTGTTCCACGTAGTCCCGGTTGCCAGGAATTCTATTCTTAACAGCGTCCACTCGTGGGGCGTCGTGCACAGCACTCGGCCTCGGCAAACAGTTCCATTCGTGCACCGACACTGCGCGTCCGCCACCGCGATACCAGAGCAACTGACATGGATTGGCGACGATAAGTCCGGACGTAGACGCAGACGTGGCGATGGGAGGTCGAGGCGCGCTGGTTGAGGTTGACGCAGTCCCAGGGGCCGGAACGAACAAGAGAGCTTTTGCGAACTCGACCAGCGAACCACGATTGATTCCAGCCTCGCCGATCATACGCCAGCTCAAAATCCCCGGTTCTATGTTCCTCTCGCCAAACAAGACGGTCACTCGGGCTTTGGTGTCGATGTCCTTGGACACGAGGATGGGGACGTGGTTCTCCGCCTCGCTTGCGCCGAGTGGCAGTCGAACAGTTTCGCAGCCGAGATCAGAGAGCCGGTCTTTGATGATTTGATGAATCGCAGCTAGAACGAACGATGAGAGGCGAAAGGTTAGATCTCCTGCCGGCTGTCTCCCACGGATCTGGGCGATTACGACAGACTGGAGAGAAGAATGGACTCACTGTTATTGGCCCCTATCAGTCACCTGAAGTTAGATTCACATCCAACAATATTCTCAGGATCTGCTCTCATGGCGGTTGCTTGCAACCGGTCGCCCAAATAGTCGATACAACTCTTCCTTCTCCGGACCCTGAGCAAGGAGATTTAGTCACTCACATTTGTGAACCTCATTCCACCGGTCATTCCTGTTGATCTTGTACTGATACTTGCGGTCCGGGCTCCGAATCGAGCGGACTACATCTTCACTATTAATGAAGAAGCCTAACTTGGCGAGGTCCGGCTCGAAGACGGGGTCGGCGGGGAGAGTATGGGGGAGACGGCGAAACATCGTGGCCCGACCGCCTCTCCTCCTTTTTTGTTGGCAACGCAGCCAGCGAGAACAATGCGGCTACAAGGGAAATAGCAGTCCCAGACAGGAAACAACTCAATGTGTGATGGAAGCTGTGAGTAGTGAGGATGAGAAAGAAGACAAGGCTGAGGTTGAGTAGAAAATTTGTCTGAACAAGGCGCTGAAGTGAAGATCCGCCTCCGACACTGTAGGGAAGCCTCTGTCACTATCTGAACGATTGAAGAGCGCGGCAAGGATAATGAATAGATTAACCTCCAGAACCCCACAAGCCCGCGAAGTGCTGGTATGAGTGTTAGGAATGTTTGAGGTTGAGAAGAGAAGAAGGCAGATGCGAGAGATGAGGTCAAGTAGTGATGTTGTTTGATGTTACAAAACTATTCCGACTCGGACTATTTCTGGCAATCAACCTCGCCAATCCTTGAATGGCGTGAACAATGAGCACCGTGACACACCATGTTGATCCCAAACTCCCCATGGGTGCATTCGGTTTCCAAATGGAAAGCAAGCAACGCATTTCCCACCCCTTATGTTCACCATGTCACCAGATCCACCGCCCATAATATCCGATTTTCAACATCAACATCTCCCATGATAGCATAGCACATGATCCTAGTTGTTCTTATTCGTACAATGTCCAATAGCCCTCTGCTATAGGTGACGACGCCTCTGCTCGAGTAGACCAACCGAGATCAAACCTCATCGAGTCTGGACTTTGCGACGGGATTAAGCTCACGATCCAGCTCTCGCAACACCAAGGCTACCGCTTCTCTGCGAATGGAAGCTTCCACCTGCAATGGGTGCAAATCCTTTGGCCAAATCAAACCCGTCATCACCCTCATCGTCGTTAACATCATGATTCGAAGCCACACTGGCGGTATTCGAGGAATGGTGTGTATTAAATCGGCTGGCCCCCATCTGACCATTGACCGCACTCACCGTATTCGCGCTGCCTTGAAAACTGCGTGCGAACTTTCCATTTTCATCAGCTGCCACACCTTTCAACCCGAGTGCGTTTGCCGGGCTGTCTTCTCTTTTCATGGCCGAGCTTGAGCTGTTAGGAGCTTGACTACTTCTGGCAGGTTTGCTCGGACTCCCCATACTCGCATCAATAGGGGGTGGACTTGAACTCATCACATTTCTGTCCATGCCATTCGCTCGAGGATCCTCATCCTTGACCGGTGACATGTCAGGCAGCGGCTGGCCCGGTGTTGCGCCCATAATACCCTTCCAGAAGAGGCCTTGAGGGCCCGCAGGCGACGACTCTGGCATAAACTTGCTAGGAGCGACCAAGGTACTGGGAGGCGCTAGTCTGGGGTTCTGTCGCAGTGGCGCAGGTGTAATTATGCTATGCTGTGACGGGTGAAACGGGGTATCCAGGTACGAGGACGACAGCGTGGGATTTGACGGTGAGTGATGAGGAGGCGGAGCAGAAGATGGAAGCGTGTACATCGGCACACTGTTCCCGAGATGCGGTGTCGGGGCGGCATTACCACGTCGCAAAGGGGAATCTTCGAGGTCCATATCCGGAAGGGTGCCCTGGGTGTCCGTTCTTCGCCTTTGAGGCGTGATAGCCTCCGCAGGTTGCGAGACAGGAGGTGCCAGGCTGGGGCTCGGCGGATACTGTTGTTGCCTGGGGTTAAAAGGAGGGAATTGGAAATTCAACCTAGCGGAAGGAGGCCCTGCCCGATCGGACATGTCTCGTGCAGAGAACTGGCTAACCATACTAGTATCATAACCCAGGTTCTGGCCGTTAGGCCCTCTGAAGTTGGGATTAACTTCCTTGCCAGAAGCAGGCGAAGACGGAGCTGAGCCTCCGCGACGGGCTTGTTTCTTCCAGTACTCCTGACGAAATTCTGGGGCTATCTGCCATTTCATCCCCTTTCCAGGCTCGTCAGTTCGCCGAGGAACTTTCTGAAACGCTTTGTTCAGCGACAGATTGTGTCGGATGGAATTCTGGTCCGGTCAGTACGGCACGCCGGGGATTGTGGAAGTGGAGTCCATACCTGCCAGCCACTGTTGGAATGGCGATAAAAGGCGTACTTGTCAGCTATGAATGAGTAGATGTTACTCAGGGTCAGCTTCTCTTCCTCGCTTGAGAAGATAGCCTGGGCAATCATTGTTGCGTAGCTGAAGGGTGGTTTAAGGTCCTTGGCACTGTCCCGACTGTAGTCGATCTCTTGGGTGCTTTCCATCATCATCCCCCGACCATACATGGGCGACATGGGCATTTTACTGTCGAAGACGCCCCGCTGGGATTTGCCGTCGGCAGTCTGCGCCGGCGGTGTAGCTTCGCGTTTGAAGTCGGGAGGCGCCGGGGCCAGAGAAGGGAAATTTTGAGTCGGTCCGGATGGGACTTCGTATTTGGAAGGCTCAGGCTGGGGTTGAGCAGGACTGACTTCCTCGCCTGCAGCCAACGCTTTGGCACGTTCGATAAAGTAATGATCGATCTCGACCTTGTCGCCGGGCGTGACAAACATCATTTGCGTCCCCGCAATCTCCAAGATATCGCCTGACTTGATCTGCCTCCTCAGCCCTTTCTTGATCAGAACGTTATTGACCCGAACTCCGTTTCGACCATTGACTCGGACGTGCCAGCCGCCTTCATCCACCGGGTAATCTGCATCGTAGTAGATCGAGGCATGGTGCCGTGAAACAATCTTGCTTGGACCCAGGTCAATATGGACCGGTAGGACCTCCTTCAGATCCGCGATAGGGCTTGAAGCGCCATTCAGATTAGGGCGATCGTCTGGCGGTCTCCCAAAGTTGACCGCTTGTTCGCGCACGAAGTAGGTCCAGTCTCGACCGGCGATTTTCGCATATGCCGACACCTTCTGCGGACTGTTACTCTGGACTTTATCGTTGGAGTACTCGGTTCTGGCGACAATGGGGTCTTTGGAGACTTGGAGATAGGAAACAACCGAGTCGATGAGATCGCTTTGGGAAACTTCTTCCGTCTCGTCGCTTGAGTCCACGGGAGGTGTGGGTTCAGGTTCGGCGTCGGGAGTGACGGACTTCTTCCTGGCGGGCGCAGTACGAGCGCCGTTGACCTGTTTTTGGTGAGGATGTCAGCTTTTGCGTCGCGGCTTGAATGGAAGGATTCGGGAAGAAGGGACAACCTTGCGCTTCTTTGCCGACGGACGTGACGGGGAAGAGTCTGGAAGGTCCAGCTCTGAAGACTCTAGGAGATCGGCGGGTTTGCGGCGTGCTTTCCTCTTGGACGGGGGCATGTTGTGTGCGTGGGCCGGACAGGGCGCTGACTGTTTGAGAAGGATGAAGAGGAGCAGTTGTTAGGAGTTGTAAGGTGTTTGAGAGCAGGTGCGCTGGGTGGGCTTTGCGACGTCAATCAATGTTTTGGATCTGAGGCAGGGATTTCCGCGGTAGCGACTGGGACGAATGTGAGGCATGGAATGGAATCCCAGCCTGACAGGGCGGCGACAGATTAGCGGGTGGTATGGACAGACGGATGGTAGATGCGAGAGGTCGTGGTGTGGGTGAGGAGGGTAGTTGCGAATAAGTGGCTTGATACGAGGTAGAGAACAAGCGCAGTTTGGTAGTTGTAGGTTGTTAGTGTTTCGAGAAGGCGCAGTTTGGCAGGGCGAAAAGAGGGATGAGAAAATGGCTGGCGAGCGGCTCGAGGCAAAAGGGCAAAAGAGCGCACGGTGGGCAGAGCGTGACAGGCCAGGCCCAGTGAATCGCGTAATTTGTCCCGTATCAAAACGCGTTTGACTCGTGCGTGGGGTCCTTGGGGTGAAGCACTGTCACTTGAGCAGTGCCTCCTCCCTCGCTACCCTCGCTACCCAGCTAAGAATCGATCGCTGATTCCCTCTGCTTAACCAGAGAGGCCTTAACTGAGAGGGTTCACAGAGCAGGACGAGATACCGAGTACCACATCACCCATCAGCACCTAGCACCCAGTTACGGCAGCCAAGAATCGCACATGGCTCCCACGCTTCGGTGCCTTTAGTCATCGCTGGTTCCGGATGGGTAAACAATCAAATGCAGGGTTTGTGAGCCCACGGGCGCCCCGTACAACATTTGGTCTTCGGCTGTCTGGAGGTGAGTCAACAGGATCGGTATACCCATCCTTCTGCCTTTTCTTCCGTTTCACTCAACACTCTCTCGGCATTATTTGGGCGCCGCTTCGATGAAAGAACCGGGGATGAGCCTTGGGGTGCAAGGGAACAGATTCGCTTAACGCGCCCAGCCGATTGGGCACCGCAGGGCATCCGCGTAAACACAATGACGTCCTCGCCCGCCACGATCTTGATCTTACCCGCTGTTGCCGCCGTAATACAGTAATACCGCCAATACCACCAACGCCGCGCCTCGTACCGCCTTGCCAGGTAACTGGGAGGTACTGGTTGCGCTAGTATCTCGCATATCAGGTACATTTAGAGTACAGTACTTGTAGCGATTGGCACCACATCCATGGACCGACTCTGCCTCAGTCTTCATATTTGTCTCCATCCTTCTTTCCGTACCATAGACTGTGCATGACTCAGCTGCTCATTCTATTCCACTCTGCATTCTTGAGACACCTCCCTTTCCCGCATCTCTCCCTGCATTAGGGCCGGCCCCCTGAAACTGCCCTCTCCCCTGTCATCCTTCCCCACCACGACTGCGGCGCGAGAGAGCGCATAACAAAACACAAATGAAATAGTCCATCCAACTAAGATATGTTTCGGAGCCCCTATCCGTCCTCTTTTGCATAGAGTCTCCACCAACACCTTGCAGCTCAAAAAAGGTCACAAGAAACCGCTTTTGGGAACCCCCCGTCAAAATAAACCGATAAAACTTGCTTTTCACCTCTCAACAGTGTCCCGTCGCCTGAGTCATGAACGTCGTAATATGGTGAATCAATGCGGATTATGTCGTATCATTTTGACCAACGCCAACTGGGAATCATGACTCGACCAATTCCACTCCGTCAATGCCATAACCAAAGTCAATGATAACCACCCTCGCATCTTGGCTAGTGCAGACAATCTTGCGGTAGTTGCTTTTCGCAGCCAGTATCCAACTGGATGACCACCCTTCAAAATTGATCTGGAGCCCCCTATCCTCGGCGGACTCTCCCTTTTCCGCGTCCCACACCTTGATCGAATGGTCGTAGCTGCCGCTGATGATGCGTGAATTCGCCGAATCGAGATGAAGTGATCGCACCAGGTCTTTGTGCCCTTTCAGCTCGCGGATCCGTTGCCCGGTGACCGTGTCGTACTCATAGATGACCCGGTCATTGCCGCCCGCGAAGATTGTTCGACCATTCTCCGAGAACTCAACGCAAGCGAGACCACGATCTTTGGATTGGAACTCCTTGATGCAAACCCCGTCCTCCAGACGCCACAATTTGGACATGCCGTCGCCGCTAGCACTGGCCAAGAAATTCCCTCGAACTTGGACTGCATTGACTGGGCCACGATGGCCCAGGAGCGTCTTGACAAGTTTGCCGGTGGGACGCTCCCAGATCTTGATCGTAGTGTCCTTGGAGCAGGTCACGATCCGCTCCTTATCGATGCAGACATCGAGAACCCCAGCATGATGGCCAATCAACCGGAATAGCGGCTTATAGTCCTCCTTGATCGACCACACCAGGCAGGAGAAATCCGAAGATCCTGTCACGAGAATCTCATCGTCGTACTGCAGGCATAGAACGGACGCCTGGTGATACAGGGGAATCTCCGGGGAAGGTGGCGCCGGTGATGAAACATAGGCCTTGAAGAACGGAATAACGCCTTCTGGTTCGACCAGGGGGATCTGGACCGACTGTCTTTCGCGGGGATTGTTTGGAGGCCCCAGCTTGCGAATGCATTGGTAGGTATGAGCATCCCACACACGAATTGTGTTATCGCGCGAGCCCGTGATGATCTTCTGTTCGTCGAATTGGGCGCAATAGACGCTGTCTTTGTGGCCGTTCAAATATATTGCAGCAGCTTCTCCGTTGCGCCAGCGCTTGTCGATCAGAGTCCGTACCTCGAAGAGTTTCCGATAATCTTGCCCAGGTTTGTTTTTACCGAGTCCAGCAAGATGCACACCGGCAGCTGGCGACTCGTTCTTGGGCCCATACTCTTGCAAAAAGATTCTCCTCCAGACAGCCTGCGATTGGCAGAGCTCGTGCCATTTGTGGGACACGAGGGAAGCCTGAATGAGCGACTCCACGTCAAGGAAAGACAGGATCGACTCCACCAACTCTGTTGCAAGAACTGATGCCGGGTCTCGACAGATGACATGTACATTTGCCGGCGAAGAACCACGCCGAACACGCGTGTCTAGCACGATCCCGATTCCACTCTCCGCATCCGGCTCAGGCTTGTCAATCTCCGATTCTGGCGGCTCGTAGGGCGGGAGAGGTGGCGTTCTCGTGGCATGGAACAGTTCATTCTGAGCCGCAGCTGAGGCACGGGCTTCTGCTCCACCATACACTAGGTCCGACAGGACGGGGTGTCCTCGGAATCGTGTAGAGATTGGATTATCCATGTCTGCCTGCACCTCAGGAGGAGTATGGAACTGAAGCAGTGGCAGAGATGGTCTCCTCCGGGCACTAGGATTTCGCATTAACCATCCGCGAGACTTTGGTCTGGTGGACATGGCCTCAGTCAAATCCATCATCTCTCCACCTGGCTTCAATGGCAATATTTGTGGCCGCTCATTCTCTCCCGACTCCTCCTTTTGTTTAGAGCTCCTCCCTCTGACAGTGAGCGACATCCGTCTGGTGAGAGAACGAATCTCAGAGATGCTATGCTTTACAGACCGTGTGAAAGTCGAGTATCGTCGTGGGCGGGAAGGCCCAAGCATCTGAGGCTCGCCAGAGAACTTGGAGAAGGGGTCAACGAACTCGGGGCTATTGTTTCCTTCTCCAGTTTGTTCCTGATTCCGATTGAAAGAACCCCAGTCCAAAACATCGTGAGCAGCCGTGGCCATCATGAGGGACATGCGCGTCGCCGGTCTTCGGAGAGATTCCTCGACTCCTGTCGAACCCTCGTAGGCAGTCTTGGGCCGGGGCAGAATAAAGAGAGATGTCCTGCGTTGAGGAGCTATCGAAGAGGAAGCCCCATGGTGGGACATGGTAGCGGTGAGACCGGAAGGAGGTAAGCGATAAATTTGTCGGACGCGCCTGCCAGAAGACTCGGCCAGCTCCGTATGTTGCCTGAGACCAAAAAGAATACTCTCGTAGTACTACAAGTCGATCAGAGAGCGAGCGATCTAAAATTCTCTGGCACTAAGACCCGTGGCGAAAAGAGCGAATATGAGAGGAATGGATGTTGAGACTCAATGCTGACAGAGAATGCATCAAGCTGCCGTGACAAATGAGACGAACAACAGTAGCAGCAAGAGATGTAAGTAGTGAAGAAAGAACGTGGGTGCAATAGATTCAAGGAGTGAAAATGCACAAAAACAAAGTACAGGTCACGGATGGTGATTTTTGCTGGTGGTCCATGACAATGGTGTCTGGGGGGAGGAAGTTGATGGGTTTGGAGTGTTTTTGTTTGACGGGTGGATAATTTTGATGGCTCGGGGGCGGTCCAGGACTGTGGAGTGGCTCCCGCGCACTCAGACCAACAAGGGGAGGTAAATCTGGGATGCTGCCACCCCTGCAACAATAACAGTCCGGCCTGTCAAAGCCTGGGATCGAGGTCTAGTAGGCCCGTCGCCCTGCCGAACGGTTGCATGCAGGGCACCGTCAACCGCTATTGGGCTGTCTCGTTGCCCCCAGAGACCTGCTAGCGGCACCAGTGGGCACCCGTGAGCCCCAGCAGGGCCCCAAACGGAACGCCGTTTGACTGCCTAGGCCATCTGGCGCAGGCTTGCCCTCAGCCTCCAACCCCAGCACCCTCCGATCCCACACCGGCGTTTCAACCCTGGAGCTGACGAGATTTCTTGCACCTCCATCACACGCATGGGTCTCAGCAACTTGTTCTCCCCGTGGTTCGTCTCGCCAAACGACTCCGCTCAGCGCTGCCGAGGATCCCTCTGCAACAATCCCTGGATGCCATGCTGGTGCACGGCGAGTCGGCGATCCAGCCTTTTCTTTTATCTGTGGAGAGAGTTCTTGCCAACCAACCTCATGCTTACAGTCTATATGTGAAGGACGGAGAAAATAAGAGTTGGCCATCCTCATCTCGCAAGAAAACCCCATTATCTACAGGAGAGATCTCTCTTGTCTTGAATCCCCTTTCGCCAAATAGTTCATTCGGAGCAAAGGAGCTCTTCTCTCAGTTTCGTTGTCCCT